TCATTTAAATTCACAATTGAAATAATCTCCTCTTAAAATTGGAAAGAGTAAGATCAAGCCTTCTTTACTTTCTTCTAACATTTATCTCCTCCCATCCCTTTTGAATTTGTACAAACACCTCACCTCCCAGCAAATAATTTACAGAGTACACATTTGGGCTTCTTATTGCTCCCTTGTGATGACTGCTTGACTTTTCTATGGAAACCTACAAAAACGAAGTCACTAAAACTCTCTACTCTCCTAGATCTGATGAGTATAACCACCAGACTCCACTGAATGGATTTACTTAGATACTGCACCGGTAATGATCCTTTAACTTAGGGCTGTCCTCAAAACTACGGCTCAGCCGGCCACATGCGGATGTTTTTTGGCCATCTTCGTTTTTTTTACTTCAAAATAAGACTATGTGCAGTGTGCATAGGAATGTTGTTCACTAGTTTTTTTTAACTCATAGTCCCAGCCTTCCAACTGTCTGGAGGGCACGTGACTCGGCGCCGTTTAAAAGAGTTTGCAGCCCCTGCTTTAACTCCTTCGCTTCTCATACGATCCTCTATGCTTTTACGTTCTTCTTTCCACAATATGGCTTTAAGAGTTGATTTTTTTAAAAATAAGGAATTGGCCAGGCGTGGTGGCTCATGCCTGTAATCCTAGCACTCTGGGAGGCTGAGGCAGGAGGATTGCTTGAGGTTGGAGTTCGAAACCATCCTGAGCGAGACCCCGTCCCTATAAAATAGAAAGAAATTAATTGACCAACTAAAAATATATATACAAAAATTAGCCAGGCATGGTGGTCGCATGCCTGTAGTCCAGCTACTTGGGAGGCTGAGGCAGGAGGATCCCTTGACCGCAGGAGTTTGAGGTTGCTGTGAGCTAGGCTGACGCTACGGCACTCACTCTAGCCAGGGCAACAAAGTGAGACTCTTTCTCAAAAAAAAAAAAAAAAATAAGGAATGATTTCTCAAACTCTATTCCTTATTCCTACGCGCTTTTTTTTTTAAACCCTTAATGCTAACGCCAATCAAGGCACATTGAAATAAGGTAAGAAATTGAAAAAAAATAACTTTGGTTTGTACTTATATATTTAAGTAGAGGATATTTACATCACAATTAAAGAACAAAGTAATCACATTTTAAGAAAACTCAGGGCATTATGAAGTGTTTGTTGGATAGATCCCAAAAAGCAGTAACAGTAATTCAAAATCCAGAAGACCTGGATTATAGACAGTTGACTATTTTGAATAAATTTTAAATTATTTTGTACCACTATTTACCCATCTCTAAATGGGGATATTTTCTGGTTTCCTCTCTTCTGGGATGTAAAAGCTATTATTATGTGCTTCCTTACTCTTCAATATACTACAAGGTCACCACTTTTTTTGAATGCTATTTTACTTTCTAAACCTGGAACTCTTTCATCAAAGTCTTATTTCTGTGGTCTACTGCCTACAGAGCTTCTATAGCACTTTTACAGCATCAGCTTATATTTATATATTAGTAATGTTTCTAATTGTCCTATGTGTTAGTTATATTTAAACTATGAGCTTGAGGATAGAAACCGTATTTGTGTATCTGGAATCTTGAACATAGGAACAAACTAATTACTGGTTGGTAGGTAGAACTTTGGATCTCTTAAACATGGCAGAATTATAAATGTGGGATAACACTGCAGTAATGAAAATTATTATTGAGGCAGAATGTCTGACTTCATTTGCTTTGGGTTTATTTTTACTGTTACAAAAGATAATATGTTATTTGCTTTTTTGAATAAATATAAGTAATATTTTGAGGGTTGCTTATTAACTTTGCCTGGAGAACAAAGCCTAATACTGCAAGTGTCTAATTCATTGTACTGTTCTTTTTCAAAGCAAATGAGTTATTCATTACTCATCTGAATTCTCATAAAGAGCTTCACACTGAGTGTCTTATTTTCTAAAAATTTAAAAATATTAATTTCAATCATTTAAGGATTGGAAAAATTGATTTAAGTGACAGGCATGATGCTAGCTCGAAGTTTATTTTTAATTTTTATGGATATCTAATAGTTACCACTTCAAAGATTCTATCCTATAGAAATAAAACCATCAGTGGGAATCTATGCATAAATATGATTGCGGCAACATTATTTGTGGTCACAAAAGATATTTCACCTGAATTTCCAACTGAAGGAGAATTGTTAAGGAGATCAAATATATCTAATATTATAAATTATTATGCACAAATTAAAATGAATACATTTGATCTACATTAGTTAAGCTCAATGATATTCACCATGCACTATAAAAAGAGAAAAGTAAATTGCAAAATAATGTAGCGTTTGTGCACTCTTTAAAACAAAGCAAAGGTAACAAAAACCCAAAAGGACATGCAGTTGAAAGTAAGTCACAAAAGCCAGAAGCCATAAGAAAAAAGGAAACAATTTGACTGAATAAAAATTAAAGCTTCTGTACAACAAAAGACAGCATAAACAAGGGTAAAAGGCAAGTGACAGACTTTAAGAAAAAATGTTTCATGTAAGGTATATGTGATCCATCAAATAATATGATATAGAATATCTAAAAAATCTATAAATGTGGCTCACGCCTGTAATCCTAGCTCTCTGGGAGGCCGAGGCGGGCGGATTGCTCAAGGTCAGGAGTTCAAAACCAGCCTGAGCAAGAGCGAGACCCCGTCTCTACTATAAACAGAAAGGAATTAATTGGCCAACTAATATATATAGAAAAAATTAGCCGGGCATGGTGACGCATGCCTGTAGTCCCAGCTACTTGGGAGGCTGAGGCAGCAGAATCGCTTGAGCCCAGGAGTTTGAGGTTGCTGTGAGCGAGGCTGACGCCACGGCACTCACTCTAGCCTGGGTAACAAAGTGAGACTCTGTCTCAAAAAAAAAAAAAAAAATCTATAAATGAATTAGAATATATATGAAAGATCAAGATATTCACAGAAAAATATGATTAGCTAGTAAATATATGCAAATATATACAATCTCACTAATAAGTAGAGAAACACAATGTTAGAAATGAAATTATTTTTCAATCCTCAAGTTGACAAAAATTCATTAAGATTGACAATATACTCTATAATTATGTGAGTAAATAGGAACTCTCATATGCTGATGATCAGAATATAAATTGGTGATTCCTTTTGGAATGCAAATTTTAATTTTATCAAAATATTAATGCTCATATCCTTTGCCCCAGTATTCTATTTCTAGAAATTAATCATTAAAGAAAGTAAAACTAGCTAATGTATCAAAAAATGAATATACAGGTATGTCCAGTTACATCTTTTTTTTTTTCTTTTTTGTTCTTACGGTGTGCTGAGGCACAGCGACCACTCGAAGTCGCGAGTGCTGACATCTCCAGTTATGTCTTATTGATAATAGAAAATAATTGAAACTGACATGAATGTTCCTCAGTAGAAAAGTGGCCAAATTATGGTAAGCCATCCTATGGAACAATAGTGCAACTATTAAAAAGAATGAGTGATACCTATGTGTACAGATAGACAGAGACCTCCAAGATATGTTTTATGTGGAAAAGCCAGTCACAGAGTAACATATAAAACTATAAGAATATGTGTATGTTTATAAATGGACAGAAAAATTACTGGAACATATGTGCTTTAAACTGTTAAGAATTATTTCTCTGGGAAGTTAGTGCAAGTAGATGAGAGGAGTGGTTTGTCAGTGGGGAGTATTATATTTATTTTTATAAACCAAATAGCATTGTTTGAATTCTCATGATAATAAAATGGGTATTTATTTCTTATGCAACTTATTAAGAACATTTTAATTTGTTGACTTATTTACACACATATGTATTTTAAATGTATTTTAAATCTATGTAAATCCTACATAGAGATAATTGTCATTCAGAATGTTGAAACAGACATAAAGAGAGAGAAATATGTATATTCAGGTAAAGAATGCCAATGATGAATTAATGTTAATATCTAAAATTAGATTATAATAATTCTTGTACAACTCTATGAAATGTATTAAGATACACTGAATTAGATACTTTATAAGAGTTTTATGGCATGTGAATTATATTTTCATAAAGTAGTAGTTAAAAAAATCAATGGTTTGATGTTCTAACCTTTACTGGGGGATGAGTGTATTTGAGACATAAGCTAATAATTTCCAGTACATTAAAAAAATATTTACAACAGATATTTCTAGCTGCCCTCCCCAACTATTAGGAAATATTTATATTTCCCAAAGCCTCGAGATCACTGAGGTGAAAGCTGCTTGGGAGGGGAAGTCACTGTTGTACAGATACGCAGGTTACGAGGTGAGGCAGGGTTGGAGAGGCATTCCTTTTCAAGGGAAACCTCTGGAAACTGCAGAAAGCAAGTGTGAGGTACCGCAATCTGCCTGGTTGGCTATTTAAAAAAAGGTCCCACATATAAGTAAGATTCTACAGTATTTGTCTTTCTCTGTCTGGCTTATTTCACTTCCCATAATGCCCTCCAGGTTCATTCATGTCATTGCAAGTGGCAGGATTTCCTTCTTTTTAAATGGCTGAATAATATCCCGTCCTATGTATATATCAGATTTTCCTTATCATTCATCCATTGCAGGGTGTTTAGGTTGTTTTCCTATCTTGGCTGTTGTGAATAATGGTGCAACAAAAAGACGAACTTGTAGAAGCAGAAGTGGATGGTGGTTGCCAGGGGCTGAGGGGTGGAGATGTTAGAGGTGGGGAGATGTTAGTCACAGAATACAAACTTTCAGTTATAAGAGGAATGAGTTCTAAGGATCTAATGTACAGCATGGCGACTATAGGAAACGATGCTGCGTTATGTACTTGAAATTTGCTAAGAGAGTAGATCTTAATCGTTCTCATCACACACACGCACACACACATACACAAGTTAACCATGTGGGGTGATAGATGTATTAATTAATTTGATTGTGGTAATCGTTTCACAATGTATGCATATATCAAGTCATCACGTTGTACACCTTAAATATATACAATTTTTATTTATTAGTTACACCTCAATAAAACTGAGAAAAAAAGAATTTAGAACTGCGGGATTTAGTTTACACTCACACCAGGCCACTTCACTGGTTTTATAAATGATTAGCTCTTTCTCTTTCTTTATTGACACAAAGGAAGGGCAAAAGCAAAAACTCGAGTCTGTAGTCATCTCATGACATAATATCACCAACTGCTCATTCCCCTTTTGCAACACAACAAACCATAAAATGAAAATCAATAATATTATTCTTTGCTTAATTATTAATATTTGCTGATTATTCTAGTGGTTCAGGCAGAGTTCAGGCAAAATAGGCATAAACAAAGACCACCACGGCCAGGAGGAGGATGGCATTGGCGTCCACTATAGCCTTCCACAAGGGCCTCTCAGACGTGTCAGTGAGCTTCTGCCTCAGGGCTTCCTCCTCCTCCTCGGTCAGCTTGGGTCCTGTCTTCTGCAAGCCACAGAATAAGTCCCAAGCCTTCCTGAGACATCCACGAGATTGCTCAGGATAATCTGAAACGAAGAAATCCTTGTCAATGTAGTGCAGGTGACTATAAAGAATAAATACAACCACTTCTGAGTGTTAGACAAAATGTAGAAAATATTCCTGAGGAAACGTAGATAAATTTGAATATATAAAAGTAGAACACTTTTGCGCGACATAAAGCTCCATAAACAAAGTAAAAATAAGTGACCCAATGAGGGAAACACTTGTTTATTATATCAGAAAGGATTTAATATCTTTAATATATAATTGTATTAAATATATATAAATAACTATAGGAAAAGACCTTCAACAGCCCCATGTAAATATACAGAAATGAATAAACAGTTAAAAAAAGGACAAATGACTCATAGGCTCACTCGAAAAGAGAAATTTAAACTAAAACTCTACTGAGATACCATTTCTCATCTATCAGTGGCAAAAATTCAAAACATTCACAATATACTATGTGAGTGAGTCTGTGTGGAAACAGGCACTCTCATACCTTGTTGCTAGGAAAGCATGATTCAGCTCCTATGGGAGGGAATTTGGTAGTATGTACCAAAATTGCATAGGCATTTTGCCTCTGACTCAACAATCATATTTCTCAAAATCTATCACAAAGGTTTACTGGCAAAAATATAAAAAGATTTATGCATAAGGCTATTTGTTGCAGCATTGGAAAAGTTAAAGAATACTTCTAACTCAAATGAAATATCATACTGGAGACTATGCTAAGAAGTAAATGATAATGAAAATCATATACATTAAAATCTGTGAGATACAACAAAAGATTATGTTGAAGGAAATGTATATGGCCTTAGTTATTGATGTTAGAAAAGAAGAAATCAGGCCCAGCGCGGTGGCTCACGCCTGTAATCCTAGCACTCTGGGAGGCCGAGGCGGGCGGATCGTTTGAGCTCAGGAGTTCGAGACCAGCCTGAGCAAGAGCAAGACCCTGTCTCTACTAAAAATAGAAACGAAATAATTGGCCAACTAAAATATATATAGAAAAAATTAGCCGGGCATGGTGGCGCATGCCTGTAGTGCCAGCTACTTCGGAGGCTGAGGCAGAAGGATTGCTTGAGCCCCGGGAATTTGAGCTTGCTATGAGCTAGGCTATTGCCACGGCACTCTAGCCCAGGCAACACAATGAGACTCTGTCTCAAAAAAAAAAAAAAAAGAAAAAAGAAGAAATCAAATTTCCACATTTACTGGAAATCAATGAAGCAATACCCACCTTATGTTAGAGGAGAAAAAAAAAACCACAACAGAATAAACCCAAATAATGAAAATGGAAGGAAATACAAATGAAAATAGAAAGTAATAAAGCCAAAAGTTGGTTCTTTGAGAAAAGTAAACTAGATGAGTCTTAGTGAGATTTATCAAGAAAAAAGAGAAATTGCAAAAAATTATATAAGGAATTTGAAGGAAAATATAACTATAGAGGCAGTCGAGTGGCTAAGTAGATATTATGAATAACTTTATGACAATATATTTAAACTGTGTACTAAATCGACAAAAACACCAGAAATATATAATTTAAAAAGCTGCTTAATGAAGAAATGGAAACTCCAAATAGTTAGTTCTGTAGCCATTATGTAAATTTGATAATTAGTTAAGAAATGCCACCCCTACCTCACAACCCTAATGGTATTATTATTGGCAAAATATCAACATTCAATGGAGATACCATTTCAGTCTTACTGAAATATTTCCATAAGGTGGACAAATGGGCTAAGTTCTGATTTATTCCATAACACTATGATCTTAACATGAAAACCAGACAAAGATTAAGTACAAAAAAAAGAAAGTTCTAGGCCAGTTGTGCTTAGGAGCATTGATATAAAAAAATCAAAAGGAGTAGAAAGCATTGGGTCTTCCTTCAATCTGAAAAACCAAAACCAAAACCAAAACCAACAAAGTAATTAGTGCACAGTTCAAAACAACATATCGTGAAGTGCTGAATCTTGTCAGTGGTTTAAAAATGTTAGGTAAACAAAGAGCCCTGGGGATGGATGCAGGAGAAATTTTCATAAAGGGAGTGAGATTAGAACTTAGTTTTAAAGAATAGACAATATTTTTCTCTTGGAGAGGAGGTATAAATATTCTATGGAGCTTGCAGTGTGTAAGGAAGTGAAAGAACCTGCCTGCCTGGAATGGAGGGTATATTGGAGAGAATAGTGAGAAATAAGACTAGAGAGAAGGTGGGGCTGGATGTTTAATCACAGTTAATCAAGACCAAACACTTAATACGTAACTAGGAACAGTAATTGACTGACATCTCAGTAACTAGGGATGGATGCTGGATGGACAGGCAGATGATTAGATGGATTTCATATGTTGTCTTGGTTGTTGGAAAGGTAGCATTTTAAAATTTCAGTTTGCCATAAATCTAACAGTTTTATTAGAAGCTGAATTTAGTGGCAATAAAAGAAAACCACTAAACCAAGTCAGGCACACGGAATTCCTACATGAAAAGCAAAAGTAAACAGATATTACCTTCTTCAGCACTATCATAGGTTTCTTCCTGCCACTTCTCGTCTGCATCTAAATCGATTCGTTCCTCTGTACTGTCCCGAAGAGCCCAGCACAGGCGATACAGCTGGCCAGAGACCATACACAAGTACATTAGTGATGGGAAAATGTTTGCAATATTATAATGGTACCTTTTGTTATCATATGGTTAAAAAAAAATCAAACTTCGCAGGAGAACACAGATCACCAGGAAAATGTCTCCTACCTTGTTCACTCACCAAAACACACTACCCATCTTAAATTATTTCTGTTTTTAATTCTTCTGGTAGTTATTCAAAACTCTGAATAATTTGCTTAAAACTCCTACTTCTGGATTGTTGATATAATTTCTGAAAAGTTGGAAAGATTTAGCTAACCTATATTGTACCCCTGCTTCACTCATTTTCCTTATCATCCAACTGTTACTAGCTACATCATTACTTATTTCAGTTTGTCTGGTGGTTACTTTTATAACTTTTAAAATATCTTAATCTCTATTTCTGGACACATCATGTTTTCATAGTATCTATGTGTTGTTATTGAGTTCCAATTGCAATGAATACCCTTATACATCCCCTTCCTAATCCACCTCTAAACTTCTGTCAGTGATACCATCATTTTAAACTGTCAAACTTTACAGAATTTTAACTGTTTTCTGTAAATATAATTAAGACTTCTATGCTTAGTCTCTATGTTGATTAAAAAAGTTGAAAATAAATAGAATTTATGCTATAAGGTATCTTATTTTTTAATTTTTTTTGGCCATGGATCCAAGAAAGACATGTGATTGGATACAATGAATAAATACCAGCTCTGAGTCATCCTAAGGAGATTGTTTCAAGTATCAATGGATTTTAAAATTTTTAATCCACCATATTCTCAAAGTCATGCCTCATTTTAGTTTGTCCCATGGCAAATTTCTTGTACAGATTTGCTAGAATTTGTAATTGGCTTTCTTATTTGTGATTGACATAGCAAACATGCTTTTATCTTATCCCTGAGAATCCTAATCATAGGTTCATAAGCTATTGTTCATAGAATTTCTTATATTAAATCCACTTTCTTTGTTAAAACTTTCTTCTTGGGACTCCTTGAATTCCTGTTTAACTTGGATCAAGTATTAATACTTTCTAGTCTTGCTGAAAAGCTATCGTCCTGTGAAATCTCATTTCTGTCCTTCTGGGCTAGGTCCACAACACTTTTCATGACTTACTCTGAAATAACTATTAATCGTATCAGTCCACTTCGAAAGTTCAAAACTCACACTATATTAATAAACAAATATAAACATAAATTAGAGAAATGTTCTCACCGGTCCTTAAGATAAAATTTTTTCTAAAAATTAGTAATAAATTATGGTTATTTCTATTGGCAAAAATGAGTTCAATATTTTATTTCTTTGAAAACTATGATATGTTTTCTAGTGCTCTTTCATTTGACTCTCAATATTCAGTGCAAATATTTAGTTATGAATACTGGTGACATGTCCTTTTTGTCTCTGTGTCAGTGTTCATGTTGTGTATGAAATCCTACTGGCCCCAGGCAGGCACAGCCTAGGTGATAGCTTTTCTGTGAAGTGTTTCCCAGTCTCTTAGGCAACAGTAATTATTCTCTTCCTGGAATCCTGTAACAATGGTGCAGATTTATGCCCCAACTGCATTGTGAAGCTTTTAAAGCAAGATGCCCATTTCCCAATCTCTTACTTTTTTTTTTTTTTTACATTGTGCAAAGAGTGCTTTATTTTTCAGAAAACATTATTGTTAGTGGGGAGAGGATATTTTATGCACCTTATAGTGAACACCTCTCCAATTCCTTACTTGTTAATTCACTGGTGCTTTGCACGTGCTAGGTGCAAATTTTTATGTATTTGAATGACTGGATGATACTCTCCTCGGTTTACTGTAGCTCTAGAGGTGCAATGAAGACATTGCCTGGGACTCCTACAGTTGCTGCAGCTTTAGAAGGCCAACAGCACTTATTTTAAAATGAGCATATATTATCATTCATCTACTCACGTGTACATCAGGAATGGGTTTTGTTAAGAGGGAAATTCCCAGGACGACTAGTATGGTCCCAAAGAAGAGAATGATGGCGAAGTACAGGTAGTGCACGCCACAGAAAATCGTGGGACAGTCACTGGCATACAAGCAACTCCCTGTTCCGTAGACAAAGTCTGCGATCATGCGAACAAGGCCCATCACAAATCCAATGATTAGACCCCAGAAGGCTCCCTGCACAGAAACAAAAACACAATCAGAGTGTCTAGAAAAGTTGAGAAGCTCATTCAAGTAAGTCATAATTATAATCTTGCCTGCTTTCTCAGTGAAGGACCAACAAATGGCTAACCTTGAGCACAAAGTTACCAAAAGAGAAAGTTGCTGTGTGTCTGAATGGTGTGTTGCTCTCCGTGGTCCTGAAATACCATTGCACTGTTGCTCCTCCAATTTCAGGACACTACTGTCTACATTGACCCAAGCTGAAGTTTCCCTTGACTTTTATTTGATAGATAGATTAAAAAACTTATGGTTTATTTTGTAGAATAAACAGAACTATGAGTTATGTTACACAGTCTTCAGAGCAGATATTAGGTAGTTTTGAGAGTTCTATTGAGCTCTTGACAATTAAAAGGGTGTATTTTCTCTGAGACATTGATGGGGGTGGACAGATTTGTCAATGTTCCCCTGAGAAAGATGTTATGCTTTAGGAAAACAGTATTTCATGTAGATTAAGAGTATGAAATTTGGATGGATGAAGCCCCAAGTCTGAATCCACAGACCCCACTTAATGATATTAAGTAACACATTAAAAGTACATAGGTATTAACCTCTCTGCACATGTTCCTTATCTGAAAATTATAATAATAAGGCTAGTACCTAGGAACAATTAAGGGATTCAATGTACATGGTCCACTATAATCAATCAATTATATGTATCACAATAGCAGTAAACATATTTTGAATGCTTATTAGTGTGGTAGATTTTCTTCTAAGAATTTCACATATTAAAAAAATTTTTTTTGGAGACAAGGTTTTACTCTGTCACCCAGCCTGGAGTGCAGTGGTGTGATTATAGCTCACTATAACCTTGAACATCTGGGCTCAAGGGATCCTTCTGCCTCAGCCTCCTGGGACACACCACCACACCTGGTTAATTTTTATTTTTTTTATTTTTCATAGAGACAGGGTCTCACTGTGCCTAGGCTGGTCATGAACTCCTGGCCTCAAGCAATCCTCCTGCCTTGACCTCCCAAAGTGCTGTGAATCACTGCACCCAGCCCTATTTCACACATCTCATATATTTTATCTTGTTTAATCCTCACAGCAATCCCATAGGGTAGGTGCTATCATTATCTTCATTTCACAGAGTCAAGTGATTTGCTGAAGGTCACAACACTGTTAGGTGGTATAGCCATGACTGGGCTCTGGCAACCTGTCTCCCAAACCTGTGTTCCTCAGCACTGTGCCATATATACACAGAGTATTTTGTAAGAAATATAAATACTCTACTATGAATGTACACTATTATTTTTGTACTTTAGGAAGGATCAAGAATTGTGACTGACCTCAACTGAAATTGACATGGGCTGTGATTTGTAAAATAGAGTAAGTACAAAAACACATTTTGATACCTCTATGAAAAAAATTGTTCTTACTCCAGCAGGGAAAGTATTTTCCAGTGTTCACTTACCTGCTCATTGACTCTTTTACAGAAGATGGCCAGCAGGAAGACAGCCGCAATTGGAGGCCCAAGGTAGCTAGAAATTGATTCTGTGTAATGGATCAGTTGTCCATTTCGAAATACCTGTACTAGTGGAACCCACATGATGCTGAGGACAGTTATTACGAGGAAAAATATCCTGGGAAGAAACAAAATGATTTAAGTTTTAAGCAAAAGTATCACAGGCACTTCCATTGTGCTTTAGTACTTGGATTCATTTTTGTTGCTATTTCTTGGTTTTCCAAAGAAAGCCAAGCTCCTTGACCTTGCAAGAATCCACACCATGCTTAATGATTTTCTGTTAGTAAAGTGCCAATAAAGTGATTGCTGGTCTATAATTAGTCCTAACACTTTCTTCTATGAGATGAAATATCTAAACACAGTTTAGGTGTCGCCAGTTGATTAATGATTCTCTAATGCGATGTATATCAATTTGAAATCAACACGACAGTATTTCTATTAACCAGTGATTCTTTGTATGATAAAGAAAGCAGACTTCTACTTTTGCCTTTTTCCTAGCTTTCAGGGAACTAAGCCAGTTTGCGTAGAGTAGAAATAACACAGCCTCTATCCCAGAATGTGGAGTGAATTGGCAAGAAATGGTAGTTTGTGTATTTTATTACTTGAATACTCTGGCAGGTAGAAAGAATTGGTTAAAGCATTGCTACATCATAAAAGCCTGTTAGAAGCTACAGGGAGCAGGACTTATTCACTTTTCTAAACCCCAGTGTTCTCTGTGTTTATTGTGTAATATTCATTGAATAAAATAAACAAACATAATTTACTAGACTGTGCAAAAAAGGCCATCATCTCTCTGGCTTGCATGAAACAGAGAAGCTGTGGTGGGGTGGAGGGAGGAACAAGTATTTGGGCAGGAGACTGAATAACAAATATCTCATTTAAACTTTACAAAATCTCTGCGTTGTTGCAACAACTAAATATGATAAACCACGAAAACTCTTAGCATGATGCATCAACCATAATAAGGATTCAATAAATTATACCCACTATTGTCATTTTATCATCATTGGAAAGCAAATCCTGTCCCTCCCCAGCTCATGCAGCTTGTTATTCTCTGTCACCTGGAGAATAGACTTCAGAGTCTTGTCCTGGCTTAAATGTCCCTGCATGACTTTGCCTCGGGCCACCTTCCTGACCTTGGTTCTTGTCACTCTCCCACTTGCTCCTCACGGGCCAACCACACTCCTCATTGTCCTCAAACACACCACACACGTGACTGTGGGAGGAACGCAGCACTCACTGCTCCCTCCCCAGAGAGCCGTGGGACCCACTCCACACTCCCGAGGGCTCTGCTCAAATGCCACCTCCTCAGGGGGACTCCCTGAGCACCTGCATGAGGGACCCACCACTCCATCTTCCTCCTATAATACTCATCATAGCTTTTCTTGCCATCCAATGCAGCACACATATGTTAATTGTGTATCCTCCCTTCAAAGGTATAAATTCCACGAAGCAGGGATTTAAAAAATGTATGTGTTTCTTTCCATATTTGTGTTCTGGGAGATTAGTAGGCATTTGATAAGAGAGAGGAAAAGAAAAAGTCAATAATTTATCATTCAAAAGGATTTCACAATCACATGCCTGCTAGTGGGACTACTGCATCTTGGGTCCCCTGAATACCCGTTAGCACTTTCTCTGCCACAGATACACACGTCTTACTGTTTCCCTCCTCCTACAGAATTTGTCCAGAGTCAAGATCTGGGCCAAGTGGGGCCTTTGGGTTCTTTCCCCAAGTGTTTGATTTTCTAAAGCTATTATTACTGTCACCAGCAAAACACAATCTTTTTAATGGGTGGTCGGTTTTTCTTGACACCAACTTCACTAAAAAGTTGGCAGGGTCCCTCCAGGATTGGTCCTTGCAGACGCTGTATCTGTAGACTGTACTGAGAGTGTCCCTACCCTGGATCCACTGAGGCCAGCGTGCCCACTCAATGAGTGGGGAAGGAAGAGAATGGAGATTAACGTGAGAATAGCAGGGCTCCAGCTTCTATTCCACCTACTGGTGAGGCTCCAATAAACTTCAAGTGCTAAACCACAAGTATGTAATTACACATTTTCATGACAGAAAATACACATAAGTACATTACCCCAAAATGGGAGAAATGACGCACTCAGGAGTCCCCCTGAGGAGGTGGCATTTGAGCAGAGCCCTCGGGAGTGTGGAGTGGGTCCCACGGCTCTCTGGGGAGGGAGCAGTGAGTGCTGCGTTCCTCCCACAGTCACGTGTGTGGTGTGTTTGAGGACAATGAGGAGTGTGGTTGGCCCGTGAGGAGCAAGTGGGAGAGTGACAAGAACCAAGGTCAGGAAGGTGGCCCGAGGCAAAGTCATGCAGGGACATTTAAGCCAGGACAAGACTCTGAAGTCTATTCTCCAGGTGACAGAGAATAACAGAAGCTGCATGAGCTGGGGAGGGATAGGATTTGCTTTCCAATGACAATAAAATGACAATAGTGGGTATAATTTATTGAATCCTTATTATGGTTGATGCATCATACTAAAAGTTTTTGTGGTTTATCATTTAGTTGTTGCAACAATGCAGAGATTTTGTAAAGTTTAAATGAGACATTTGTGCTTCAGTCTCCTGCCCAAATGCTTGTTCCTCCCTCCACCCCACCACGGCTTCTCTGTTTCATGCAAGCCAGAGAGATGATGACCTTTTTTGCACAGTCTAGTAAATTATGTTTGTTTATTTTATTCAATGAATATTACACAATAAACACAGAGAACACTGGGGTTAAGAAAGGTGAAAGAGTTCTGCTCCCTGTACCTTGGGAGCTTTTATGATGTAGGCTTTTATGATTAAGGCTTTTATGATGTAGCAATGTTTTGTTTTTTCTTTTTTTTTTTGAGACAGAGTCTCGCTTTGTTGCTCAGGCTAGAGTGGGTGCCGTGGTGTCAGCCTAGCTCACAGCAACCTCAAACTTCTGGGCTCAAGCAATCCTGCTGCCTCAGCCTCCCGAGTAGCTGGGACTACAGGCATGTGCCACCATGCCCGGCTAATTTTTTTGATATATATTAGTTGGCCAATTAATTTCTTTCTATTTGTAGTAGAGACAGGGTTTCGCTCTTGCTCAGGCTGGTTTCCAACTCCTGACCTCTAGCAATCTGCCCTCCTCGGCCTCCCAGAGTGCTAGGATTACAGGACTGAGCCACCACGCCTGGCCGATGTAGCAATGTTCTAACCAATTCTTTCTACGTGCCAGAGTATTCAAGTAATAAAATGCACAAACTAGCATTTCTTGCCAATTCACTCCACATTCTGGGATAGAGACTGTGTTATTTCTAATCTACACAAACTGGCTTAGTTCCCTGGAAGCTAGGAAAAAGGCAAAAATAGAAGTCTGCTTTCTTTATCATACAAAGAATTACTGGTTAATAGAAATACTGTGGTGTTGATTTCAAATTGATACACATCGCATTAGAGAATCATTAATCAACTGGTGACACCTGAACTGTTTTTGGATATTTCATTCTCTTGCCACTTTTGGAATTATTTTTACCGTCAATTTGATCATTTTTGCAGGAGTCATAATCAATTTCTTTTCTTTTAAGATCTCTTCCCACATTCCTTTCTAATCCGAACCACTAAATTTTAAATGACTGAGAGTGAAAGACACTTGCAGCAATCCACTTGACAGAAATACACATCCATGTGCATCAAGGGACATAGACAAAAGTGCTCAAGCCACGAACAGGAGAGTAGATGAATTCTAATATATTACTAGGATGGAATACCATACTGAAAATAAATAAACTATACCTATGCATAGCAACATGGATGGATGTCACAAACATAACACGAGCAGAAGAAGCCATATATTAAGCAATACATATTGAGTTATTCTATTTGTAATAGCCCCAAACTGGAAAGGGCTAATCTACAGCACTTGAAGTCACAATGGTCAGCTTTGGGGATATGGGTTCCAACGGGGGATTCTGGGTGCTGGGGATTTCCATTTCTTGACTGGACTGGTAGTTACGCTGGATGCTCATTTTGTGATATGTCACTGAACCATACATTTGTGCTTTACATGTTTTCTGTATGTGTGCTACTTTAATTTTTAAAATATGTTATGAAATGCTACAAAATACTTTTCAAGTAGACAATACAGGATCTATTTGAAGAGTATGAAGCGAAGAAAGGAGACTAGCCATTCTTTCTGTTTGTTTCCCTCCATGTCACCGTCTTCAAGGCCGCCAGGCTGTCCAGGGACTCCTGGGTTGACTGAACTCTCCCAGCAGTGTCTTGGAATTAGTCCCTCCCATGAGTTTGTCCCTTTCTGACGTGGTCCAATCCTTAACGAATGCAGTTAAGATAAACTCGTCTGTGTTAGTGTGTGGGTGTCTTAATCTATTACTTCCAAGTGATATACCTGGAAACTACTGGAGACTGCATTATCCAATCAGTGTGGGATGGAATTTTATACCCCATTAAAGCACTGATCCCGCTATGTGAAGATGTGGGTGGAGAGCAGTATGAGGAGGAAAAGAAATAAGAGATAATCGGAGGCATCTGAGAGTCTGAAAGAGCAATTATTTCACTTAAAGATATGTCTCCAATTTTGGCATTTGGAAAGACATAAGCTGAAATAAACTTCCTTTAATGTTCCCTCCTCCACTCTAGGACTCTATGTTTACTTTCAACAAAGCCAAAGACAAGGGAGATCTAGTTCACACCTACATCTGCATGTCTATAGAGGAATTCTAGGGGGAAACTAGGGTTTCCTCACCGTCCTGCTATCAGAAGCTCTTTCTCTGATGCCTGCTTCCGCACCTTGGTGTAGATGTCCATGGTGAAGAGGGTGCTGGCGCTGTTGAAGATGGAGGTCAGGGAGCTCATGAGGGAGGCCAGCATGACCGACAGCATCAGGCCCCGCAGCCCTGGAGGCAGGAGAGGGTGCAAGCACTGGTTAGTGGCTGGACACCATGATCTATGAGGACCTTGCTCAACCAGAGAGCCGTTCAAAGATAAAAGTGTCAACTTCAACACTGATTAAGTGATGTACTTATCAACACACACCAGCATGTGCAGTTTTCTGCATATTTCTTGGTGATCTGAGAATAATCCAGTATAGAATTTTAGTCCTACACATAAACTTAGAGATCTTCTGTTGGATCCTCATTTTAGAAGAGAGGAAATAGTGTCATACTGCCTTTCTTTGGAGAGGAACTCTTGGCTTTTCGAAGACTTAGAGGGCTGAAGGGGAAGAAGCTTAGTAGGGGTTGCTGCTAAAGAAGTCTTTGGTGGGGCAAAGCTAAGGGTTTTGAACCATCATGAGAGCTTCAATCTCCATTTATCTCTGCCATTTAGTAGTGGCCCTAAACCTCCTAGGACAGAGTGTGGTTGAGTTGTATGTGGTGTCATGCTTGTGGGTCATACTCCCCTCCTCCTGAAAATGCTCTATGTGTTGGGTGGACAAAAGTCACAGAAGCATTAACCAACATTTGATGGGCCTCAGGTATAAGATTACCTGGTCAGTCCCAAGCTCTGTACCTGGCTCTGTACCTGTTCACCACAGCAATGATCACCTTCTGGCTTCCTAATAATTTACTTATTTCATATGTATGGTTTGTTTTCCATCTCACAATACTAGAATGTGAGTTCTAAGGGCTAGGGGATTTTTTACGTACTTCACTGATGTTTTCTAAGCACCAAAGCAGTGCCTGGCACATAATAGGCACTCAATAAACACTCATAAATTAAATAGATTGAGATCTATTATTTTGGTATCACTGAGTGAAAGAAGGCAGGATAGTTAACCTCCTCCCCTGTGTTTGTAAGTTTATGGCTACACAACTCTTTTACTGACAAAGAGATCATTTAAATATTCTTGATTCTCTTGGAAGAGTCTTGAATGTGAAGGAGTAAGGATTCTTCCAACAGAAACTGTATCGGATTTGTCTATGAAATCTCCAGGCCTTGCACAGGGCCAGTGGCCTGTGGAAGGTGCACAAGAAATGTCCGATGAATAGAACTGACTTAATGGAAGTGAGAATTACCAAGGATTATGTCATCACCCTTCCTCAAGGCCCTTCCATAGACAGACCTCTGCGGCTGTTCCAGCCAGGACATTCTCCTACCTGCAGGCATCAGTTCCAGCACCAGTGTTGGGTAGGCATAGTTACTGCAGCCGACTTCAACGCCGCACTGTTTCACACACTCAGAAGGCACAATGCAGGCCACCTTATCTGAGGAAGGATTCAGAGGTGAGCTCAGAGAGGCTGAGGTAGGCACAGCCCGCAACTGCTGGACAAAGAGATAAGTTGTACAATCATGGGTTGGGGAAGGGAAAACCTTTGCCTGGACATTGGAGAGTCAACTTTGACTCCATACCATGGATCTGGTCCCTCTTTGTCCAGAACACGACCCATAAATGTCTCATCTCTGTGGCTCTCTCCTTGCATTGACCCACGGGGCAAAGCTCCCACCTTGGGATGTGGCCCAGTAAGAGCATCATAGCAAACCAGGGAGGTGATCCTATCCTCCAGAAAAATGGCAAGAGAAGAAATTCTTCCAGGAGCACTACGTTCCAGAAATAAACAACAACAGGAGGTTAGGTCCTGTGTGCAGTCACATCTAGCCTACTGTTGTTCACCTACATCTAAGAAGAGGCGTTACTTGTGATGGATGTGCCCTGTGTGTGATGATGACTCAACTCTGCAGCTGTTGCACAATACCTTGATGGGGTTTTTTTCTTAAACAATATTATGACAATAGACAGGGAAAATTGATAAAGAATCACCCAGAATAATAACACCTTGGCACGTTAACTTTTTTCACTTTTTATTTCCTTTTTAATCCTTTCCCATAGAGAAATGTCTTTTCTTGCATAGCTATCATGATTGTTGAGCTATTATTGTGTGGCTTCCTTTTTTTTTTTTTAACATTTGACATAGTAACCTCAGCATTTCCCCACATTTTGAGATCATCTTTTGTCTCTTGTGTGCAATTTTCCACAAAGGAGGTATGCAATGATTTCTTTGGCCATTCCCCATTTGTTGGATATCTACACATTCTTTACTGTTGTAAACAACACTGCAGTGCAGTGATAAGAAGTGATGTCACCCACTTGATGTTCATCTTAACAAGATTTCAGTGAAATAAACTGATACCCAGTTGAGAAAATATGAAGTGTTATCTGATGGATTGGCTCAATAAAAATGAGTCTTTAATTAGCCAAGTAAGATTCAGTTATATTTCCTTTAATTTTCATAATAAAGACAGAAATTTTATTTTTAAGGAGAAATTTCAACACTAGCAGTTATTCTCAGCTGACTGAGAAATTAATGCGCCCCAAACAACCTGGTTCCAAAGCAGTGAAAATCCATTCAGTTCTCCAGCTGTCTCAGAGGGACCAAGACGGGACAGGGCATCTTGAAATACCTTCTCAGTCAGATATGTCACCAAACTCAGCTACTACTGCACACCCAGCTCAAATTAGGCCAATTCTACTCCATCCTCCAAGTGCCCCTCTGCCACATTCTCTAGACTTCCTTAATTCCAAGCCGCTGGTGAAAACAGGACTCGCAGACTCAAACGTCTACAATGAGACAGGCATGTAGTACTAAAAGGGTAAGGGAACAGAATGTCAAACATGCCAAATTTTCTTGCCTCTGATCCTCTGTGCAAGCTGTTCCCTCTGCTTGGAATTCTGCTTTGACTTCCATCCAGAATGGATTTTCTAGTTTGTTAAGATTTTACAACATCATAAAAATACTTTCCAGAATTCAAGCATAAAAAGGACAGGGCATTCGGATCCGGGGCTCACCTGTGTACAGGATGCGGCTGATCATTCCTGGCATCACCATGAGGAACATGGGCAGCAGCTTCAGGTACCCACACATGATGCAGGCGGCCTTCACGTGGGACATGTCCTTGCCGCAGAGGCAGCGCTGCACGATGACCTGTGGGGAAAACAAGACGCACCTGTGAAACAGCCTGGGGTGATTTCAAAAACTGTCTCTTCTCAGGGTTTAATGTTGCAATAAGAAATGATGTTGATCCATATATATATAACAGAAGAGATTTCTGCACATCCATGTTTATTGCAGCGCTGTCATAACAGCCAAAGTACGGAATCAACCTAAGTGTCCCTCAAGGAATGCACGGATAAAGAAAACATGGCATGTGTACACAATGGAAAATCATTCAGCCAGAAAGAAGAATAAAATTCTGTCATTTGCGGTAACATGGATGAAACTGGAGGTTGTCATGCTAAGTGTGACAAGCCAGGCACAGAAGGACAAATATTGCATGCTCTCACTCATTTGTGGGACCCTAAAAAAGGTGGATCTCATGGAAGTGGAGAGTAGAATGGTGGTTACCAGAGGCTCGGAAGGGAATAGGAGGGAGGGGTTGAAGATAAGTTGGTCAGGGGGTGCAAAACTACAGTTAGGTAGAAGGAATACATTCTAGGATTCAATAGGACAGTAGGGAAATTATTGTTAATAATTTATTGTATATTTCAAAATAGCTAGAAGAATTGTAATATTCTCAACACAAAGAAAAGATAAATGGTTGTGATGATGGATATTCTAATTACTCTGATTTGATCATTACACATTGTATACATGTATCAAAATATCACAGGTACCCCCAAAATAGGTACAACTTTTTTATATATACATAAAGAAATGATGTCATGGTTGGTGGAAAATAATGATTTGAATTCCTATTTCTTTTACACAGTATTTGACCTCTGTGAATCTCAGGTTTCTCATTTTTGAAGTAGGGTTATTTGTTGCAAGGCTTTCTGAGTATTTGGTGTAATGTATGGAAGACCTTTGGTACACAGAAGTCAATACACATTAGCTACTATTAAAATATGTTCACAGCTCCCAGGCTGCAATGCAACGATGGTAGTGTGCCCTGCCAGGTACAAAGTTGTCACTAATGATGCTACCACAGTTGTGGGTTTCAATTATGTCTTTAATATTGTAGACATCATCAGTATCTCCCTGTGGTTATGGAGAAATTGCCTCCTTGAGCAGTCAAGCCAGTTGCCATGGAAATGCCATGGTCAGGCAGCCATCAGAATAGACATTAATTTCTATATTTCTTCAGAATATTCTAAAAACCTCATCTGGTTATAAATCAAATATGATAGTCCTTGGAAAAAGAATGCACGTAATTTCATATTTCCTACTTAAATTATGCCATCTCTTAACTAACAATTTTGCAGCAATGTAGGACTTTTGCCCATAATGCCATGACTTCCTGCTATTTTTCTTCTCAAGGAATGTTAGAAAATAGAGATGCCTTTTCCTGCTTAATCCTCTTTGGAGAAGCAATCCATTAGGGATGGCAGTGGTATCATTCAGAGCTGAGGGAGCAGACGGCATTTGTAGACTGAAGGTTTGGAAGCAGACAGGTGGAAGTACAACACCTATCACAGGTGAGGAGGGGAGCCCTGTCAATGCTGAGCAGGGCCAGGCATCAGATTTAAGGTGAACGTGAGGCCACTTACAGGAGGCAAGTCAGGTGGCCACGGATGAAATATAATAATAAAGATGGTTCCACAGATCAATGGTGAAATGATGCATCCTTTGGTGGATGTTTTGGGGAAAACCAATTTGTTACATAGAGAAAAGTGAAACTGTGACCATTGATTCAAGACAGGCTAAAAATTGTGAAATTACACGTCTGAAGTTGATAGAGACACTTCAGAGAAAAAACATCTTCAAAAGACAAAAATGAAAAGAAACCTAGATGCTTATAAAAAGGAATATTCAGAATTTAAAAAAAAGTTCCTTGACATTATAAAAACAAAGGCAGAAAAGCTGGAGGATAAAGCTGAGGAAGTCTCCTAGAAAGCAGAGCAAAAAAGACGAAGAGATAGAAGATGGGGAGAAAAGAAACGGACACCAGAGCACAGCTGGGGAAGACCAGCACCAAGTAGAAGGTCCCAACAGGGAAACAAAACGGGAGAAATCAAGGAAAGAACCCCCCCAAATTACCCAAGACATCAATTTCCAGGTTAAACAGGCTCACAGTGGCCCATTGCAAGGGGCAAAAACAGATCCACACAGGAGTACCTGGTAATGAAATTTCAGAATTCTGAGGACAAAAGAAAGACAAACTTCCAGAGAAAAAGGTAGTCATCTCTAAAGGATCAAGAATGTCTTCCATCTCCTCAACAGTAGTGGTAGAATTCAGAGGACAATGAATCTATGACTTTGGGGAAATTCTTTCCAACCTAGAAGTGTGCACATGACCAAACTACCAATAAGGAAAGGTCAGAGTGAAGACATTTTCAAATATGCAAATTCACAATAGATTTACCTCCTATCGGGGCCTATCTCAGGAAGTTACTATAGGGGTTTTTTTTTGAGACAGAATCTCACTTTGTTGCTTGGGCTAGAGTGCCATGGCTTCAGCCTAGCTCACAGCAACCTCAAACTCCTGGGATCCAGCAATCCTCCTGCCTCAGCCTCCAGAGTAGCTGGGACTACAGGCATGCACCACCGTGCCCAACTAATTTTTTCTATACATGTTTTTAGTTGGCCAATTAATTTATTTCTATTTTTAGTAGAGACAGGGTCTCACTCTTGCTAGGGCTGATCTCGAACTTATTAACTCAAATAATCTGCCCGCCTCGGCCTCCCATAGTGCTAGGATTATAGGCGTGAGCCACTGCACCAGGCCTACTATAGCTTTTGATTGCCCTGGAATAAGGAATAATGTAAGAAAAAACCTGACATGGGATACTCGAAAAAGGAGATAAAAAACCCGAGTGAGGCAAAAGGAATCCCAAAGAAGGGGGCCTTGGATAAGGTTGGGCACCAAACATAGAGGGAACCTGGCCAGACTGTGAAAACTTGATGTGCTTGCAAGCATCGAGAGGAGATTTTGGCAATCAGCAGAGGGTTTGGTGCTTCACAAGTGATAATTACCAAGAAAATTTAAAACAAAAATTAAGAATTATAAATTCCATGGAAAATAAAAAGCTAAAGAAAAGTCATTCAGAAGATGCCATGTGGCTCAGCTGTGAATTACATTCAGGAAGTCTCAAAAAATGGTAGAACTGAATGCTGATCTCTAAAAATTGTCACGTAGAGCTATTGGGAAGATGGGGGGAACAGGAGGTGTGCTCGTGTGGGACTGGGAATGGAAGGTTGAAAGTGAAGCCAACAGAGAAATCCTAAAACTGGAAATCCAAGAAGGAGCAACACTAGCATTTATTTGAATCACTTGGGGATCAAGTTAATGAGCAAATTGTGATTCCATGGGTCTGGACAGGGTCGTAGGTTCTGAGAGTGTTCATTCCTAGTGATCTCCAAGGTGACGCCCTTGCTGATGGGTCACAGACCACACACTCAACACAGAAATTTAGAGAATAGAAACAAATACCAAATACTTAATTGAAAGAGTTGAAAGTGTTTGCCTCCGAGGGACGAGAAATAGGGTAGAGTGTGGCGCCAGGCAGCTATTTTTATAACAAGACTCACAGAAGTGTTTGACCCTTTAACTGATGTGTGTGTACAAAATAGAAACTAAATTATTTTCTGTGAGACAAGAAAGAACATACATAAACGCGTGCGCACATGCACACACACACACACACACACACACACACACACACACACACACACACACACACACTCTTCACCTGATCCGTGCACCAGTACCACAGAGACGTAATGAATATTCCCACTATCATTCCTGGCCATGGAATGTCCCCAGAGACAGGATCTTGGAAAATGTGGAAGGAGTCCGCCTGAGGAGTGTAGCACCTGGCGTCGATTGTCAGGTTGTCCCCTTCAACTATGGATGGGATGGCGTTCATGTACTTCTCCATAAAACTCTTGTAACCTCCAACTTCGGCAAATGCTGAAAAGGCATCAGATAAAATGAAATGTCTAACTGAAGCCGAACACACCCGATGCTTATATGCTTACTCCTTTGTGGTGGAGGTACACAAGCGCCTCCTGTCAGCCTGGTCACATCCCCAGTCACCTTCTCCCGGGATCCATGTCTTCCTAGTACTGCCGCTGGCGTCAGGCATGGTACCAGATCGACTTTCACAAAGCACATAAAGCAAACGACTCTAACTTGTCTTCTTAGAGTGCTCTTTAAAGTTTTAAGTTAATGTCTTGCTTTAAGGTAAAAACAAAACTGTAACCCAATGGATGGTATTGATGTCTCACAACCATCCAGAGCAGAAACATGCCTGAAGGTGAGATAACAGAGTGAGCCCAGTGGTTATGGCCATCAGTCAACCGCAAGACCCAACTCCTCAGAAAGCAACAAGAAGTAACAGCGTCTCTCCCTGACTCAGAGCCTGTCTATTCTGACCTCATTCACAATCTGGTTTCCTGGCACAACACCATTCTGTCTACATTTCAACAAAAAATTGGAAAGATAAGGAGCGGAAATTGGAGGCAGCAGGTTAGCTGTGATGAGAAAAATGTTGAGACTCAACCCACTATGGGTCTGGACAGGTTAGTCAGGTGCAGGAAAAATTTATAGTCAGTCTTAGAAAGATGAGCCCAGGCATCTGTGGTCACTTAGTATAGGTTTAAATGATGCAAAATTCATCTCAGTATCTTACAGTTGTCGAGTTGAGTTGACATTAATTTACTTCTTTGTTATTTAATTTGGGACCAGTATATACCAACCATTGTGCTGGGATCATGTGAAAAATGAATGTGCAAGGCAGGAACTCGGCCTAGTGGTGGATACAGATAATACAAGGAAATTGCTTTGATTAGATAAAAATGGTTTGCAAAGAAAATACACAGGGGACCCTAAGAGATAAGAGAGTCCTCCTTCCTCATCCTAAGGATGGGAGAAGTGAGGCTTGGAGACACCGAGGCCAGAAACTAATGAACCATGAAGAAGAACAGTGTGGACAGTCTAGATAAATAGAAGGTAGATGGCTGACTAGTCACACATAGTATGTGCCTCCTCTACAAAGAAGAACCAGAATAGTAAGTGCATACTCACATTTTGAACAGATTGTTTAGGAGAGAAAGCTAGGATTCACCAGAAGAATGGCAAGCACCAAAAGCATGCAAGGAGAGAGTTTAAGGAAACTGGCCTGGCTGCGCACTGGCTGGGAGCTGGGAGAAGCTCCTAGGTGCGGGAAAGCAGTAAGAGAGAAATCCCCAGGTCTTCACCCCATGAAACAGGCTCTTACAATCTTGGCTATGGGAGAACCGCTCAACTCCTGTGGGCACTGGGCCTAACACAGGGAGCTGCCTAGAGATTGCATGTAGACGATGCTCCAGAAAGGGAACCCATGTGGCGTGCCACAGCATCCATGCCCAGAGCACCTGCAGCTGGGCACCATTCTGGGAGTCCAGATACTGGGGATCTATAGACACAGCCACTGCTGTTGTGCTGTTCCAAGGAGGGAGAGTGGAGACTGGGGGCTCCCATGCAACTCTAGAAAGATCCCCACCACTGTGCTGTGGGCTGCTTTTGAGACTCAGATGTGAGTGGATTGCACTCCTCACAGCTTCTTGTCCACACTGCTTGCCTGTAAGGGGTCCTACCCCTTCTAGTCTTGGGCTCAAGGGACCATTTTGAGAGTTTAATGCTGAGCTACACCTTGCCTTTGGGCCAAATTTGGGTTGACACCACTGCAGTCATCACCTGGTTGAGGAGGCCCAGGGAAACTGGGCTCTCCTAGGACAATACTCCCAACCCTGCAAGAGGCTGCTGTGGGACTGGAGACTATCCTGTCCACCCATCACAGCTATCAGCGACACCAACAGGGACCCTTTGGGTCTCAGTGGGTTGCTCTACCACTGCTACTGCTATCACCATCACATCAGCTGCCCAGGGGCCTGATAACCTGCCCACATACCAGGGCCACTTCTCCCACTATTAGCTTCTGAATAAGCCACCTAGAGGTCCAAGAATTGGCCTCCCAGGGCCCACTAACACTGGTGCCACTGTGAGCTGCAGCGGGCCCCGAAAACACACATACACAGCCCACCATTGCCACCTCCAGGGCCTGAAGACTGGCTCAAGTGGCATCCAAGTCCCCAGCAAAACTTTACCACAGCCTCAACTAACAGTGTAACCCTAAGTCACTGAGGAAGTCACAGATACCTCTGATGCTGTGTACTGCTGAAGAAATCATATAAAGATCACACTACTAGGCCGGGCATGGTAGGATTATGGGCTCACGCCTGTAATCCTAGCACTCTGGGAGGCTGAGGCGGGAGGATTGCTCGAGGTCAGGAGTTTGAAACCAGCCTGAGCAAGAGCGAGACCCCGTCTCTACTATAAATAGAAAGAAATTAATTGGCCAACTAATATATATAGAAAAAATTAGCCGGGCATGGTGGCGCATGCCTGTAGTCCCAGCTACTCGGGAGGCTGAGGCAGTAGGATTGCTTGAGCCCAGGAGTTTGAGGTTGCTGTGAGCTAGGCTGATGCCACGGCACTCATTCTAGCCTGGGTAACAAAGCGAGACTGTCTCAAAAACAAAACAAAACAAAACAAAGCAAAACAAACAAACAAAAAAAGATCACACTACTGAGGGGCCCCAAATCAAAGCCCAAGTGTCCTACTCAACCAATGACATATATCTATCTTCAGGAAAATAGTGTCCCTTACGAGGGCAATTGTAAGAAATTGAAAGAAGTGACTGCTATAGCAGATGTACAGATATTAACAGAGGGACACAGAAAACATGAAAAAGCAAGGAAATATGACACTACCAAAGGACCACCACAATTGTCCAGCACGAGATCCAAAGAACTCTTTTTCTGAATTCAGTAAAGTTTCAGGATACAAAATCAATGTTTAGAAATAAGTAGCATTTCTATACCAATAATGATATTGCTGAGAACAAATTCAAGAGGGCAATCCCATTTACAATAGTTGCAAAAACAAAACAAACAAACAACCAAAACCAAAAACAAAAACAAAAAAACTTAGGACTGTATTTAACCAAGGAAGTAAAAGAGCTCTACAAGGAAAACTATAAAACAATGATGAAAGAAATTCTAGATGACACAAACAAATGGAAAAACATCCCTTTAACAATAATTAATATTGTTTAAATTACCATACTGCCTAAAGCAATTTACAGGTTTAATGCAATCCTTATCAAAATAGCAACATCATTTTTTAACAAAATTAGAAAAAACAATTGTAAACAATTGTAAAGTTCACATGGAACCAAAAACAGCTTGAATAGCCATAGCAATCTTGAGCAAAAAGAACAAACCTGGAGGTGCCACATTGCCTGACTTCAAATTATATAATACTACAAGGCTATAGTAACCAAAACAGCATGGCACAGGCATAAAAATAGACACATAGATCAATGGAACAGGCTAGAGAACCCAGAAATGAAGCCACATACTTATAGGCCACTGATCTTTGATAAAGTCAACAAGAATATACACTGGGGAAAGGACAGCCCTTTCAATAAATGGTGCTGGGGAAATTGAATTGCCATATGCAGAAAAATGAAACTGGGACCCCTATTTCTCACCGTTTTAAATAATCAACTCAAGATGGTTTGAAGACTTGAATATAAAACCTGAAACTATAAAACAACTAGAAGAAGAAGAAAAACCAGGCAAAATTCTTCTGGACATTTACATCAGGGAGGGAAACCTGTAGCCTTGAGGCCACATGTGGCCTTCTGGATCCTTGAGTGCAGCTTCTTGACTAAATCCACATTTTACGGAACAAATCCTTTTAATAAAGGGATTTGAAGTTTGAATTCGGTCAAGGGGCTGCACTTGGGGATCTGGAGGGCCATATGTGGCCATGAGGCATGAAGTAAAGTTGTTCTGGCATTTACTCATGCTGAAATAATATAGCAAGAAAGAAGTCAGGTAGACATTTCAAGGACAGGAATTATAGAAATGTTTGGACAATGTGGCCAGGTAGACCTGGGAGGCAGCAGTAAAGAGTTGACAGACTGCCATAAACATTCGGGTGTAGATGTCTTTCAGTCAGTACCAATTTGATGGCGAGTACATGTGTGCCATCAAATTATACTGACTAATTAACACTATGGTGCTCACATGGTAGTAATATTCTCCAGGGATGGGGGAGTTGGGGGGTATCTCACAACTATAGGACACGGTATACATTGTGTGTATGTGTGGGAAGGGCATGCCTCTAACCCCTGCTAGGGAGAGGCAATGATATAAAATGTAACCAAAATGTTTGTACCTTCATAATATCCTGAAAAAAGAAAAAAGAGTAGACAGACTGAACAGGAACAATCTCATGATTTCTGACCTTTGGACACTGTACATGCTGTCCTCACTTACCATAACCCATGAGAATAAAAGACCCAATCAACATGATGATGGTCTGGAGGGTGTCTGTGTAAATCACTGAGGCCAAGCCCCCTGTTGAGAGAGAGAGAAAAAGAACCAGGGCATTTTATCCATGAGTACTCATGCATTTGCCTTCATCTTTGGTTCTCCTCCACCCAAACCCTGGAAATGACTCAACAGAAAACATATCAAAAACTCTGGGCTGAGCCACAAAGTGATTTTGGCACCATAATCTCCTTAGTATTTGTGTCTTTCATTGGTTCCCCTATTTCTCTTGCCTTTTCCTGGTTCAAAATTTCTATGAATGATAGAAGAATTCCATCATTACGTGAGTTTTTGAATATTAACTAGGGAAAAGGCAAAAATTTAATACCATTAAAGTTTTCTTAACAATCTCTCAAGTCACTCCCATTTAGAACAGTATCCCTGCTCTAAAAAAACCAGAAAAACCATTTCTGCTTTAGTGTTGGAACATATCATTATTTCATTAATTAAATATGAGGCATAGTAATTGATTTGTGTTTTGCTGCAATATTGTACAAAGAAACCCCCAGCTTCTCTTTCAATACTAGACTTGCTAGACTCTCAGTTGACAAGATATTTCCTTTATGAGAGGGTCATGAGGAAATAAGGCTGATCCTGAAAACAGTCATGCACCTATCTATCCCTGTTACAAAGAAGTATTCCAACTGGAACTTTCCAGTTAAGCCATTTCTTTTTTTCTTTTTTTTTTTTTTTTTTGAGACAGAGTCTCACTTTGTTGCCCAGGCTAGAGTGAGTGCCGTGGTGTCAGCCTAGCTCACAGCAACCTCAAACTCCTGGGCTCAAACGATCCTCCTGCCTCAGCCTCCCAAGTAGCTGGGACTACAGGCATGCGCCACCATGCTCGGCTAATTTTTTGCATATATTTTTAGTTGGCCAATTAATTTCTTTCTATTTATAGTAGAGACTGAGATGGGGTCTTGCTCAGGCTGGTTTCGAACTCCTGACCTTGAGCAATCCGCCCGCCTCGGCCTGCCAAAGTGCTAGGATTACAGGCGTGAGCCACCGCGCCCGGCCCCAGTTAAGCCATTTCTATGAAGACCTTCTCCTAGCAACAGCCAGTGCCACCAATGAACAAGTGCCACCACCTGTAATAAGCCCCTGTAACCTATGGTCTTTGTTTCAAAACTGCTTATGTGGACTCTCCCTCTTTGTCTTTAAAAGTTTCTTCTTGCTCTAACCCCCTTGGATATGCCTATACCCCTAGATTGCACCCCCTTGCTATTCCTGTATAAACTCTTAGTTTTAGAGAGTCAGTCTCTCTGTCATTTATTTTAGGTTTACTGTTCAATGTATGAAAATGGTTCCAGAACTGTCTAGATTTTTCTAGCTATTATTCTTTGTGTTTCCCAACTCAGCTGGTGTAGTTTAATTTTCATAAGTTAGTATGCATGAGACACTGCATGGACACACCTAGTTCATGAGAGTCTCCTCGGACTGTTGCCACACACTTTCTCCCCACCACTAACCCACTGCTCCAGTTCTCCTCCCCCGACTGCACCATTCTCAACCCAAGGCCACTCCATGGCACCCTGTGTTCATTTGAACTTTAACTTGCATTTGCCAGTCTCATGTCTGAGATGCTATTTCATCCAGCCTTCCACGTAGATGATATGCTGAATTCTAAATGCCCATTGGGCACCACACAGAGAGCTGAACCAAGTCACCAGTTCCCCATCCCATCCACCACATTATTTTCCTCCATTAAAATGCTCATATCCAACAAGGAGGATTCTCTTTTATTCGCTCTTGCTGTGTATCTCGTGCTGTGCCTGACTCTCACAGTGAGAATGAAACAGTGTCCTTACCTCGGCAGTGACAAGGCTAGCACTGAGGTTGCTAATTTCAGGTGGGGATAAGATTAGCAGAAGGCAGCAATGACTAAGCAAAATGTGCAAAAGACTCACCAGTGATGGAATAAATAGCAGTAATAGCCAAGAGGATGAAAATTGCCAGGTAAAGATCCAATCCTAAGGCCACCTTGATGAATATGGCTCCAGAAAATATGTCTGCCTAAAAAGGGAATAGTCCAGGTGGGAAAAATGATGGATTTCAGGCTTCTGGTTTCTCTTCTACAATGTCCATTCTCCCCTCTCCTCCCACCCCTTCTTTTCCTGGTAGACTCCTACTTGTCCTTAAAGACACCACTTGGATGTCCCTACCACAATATCTTATATAAAGCCTCAGCAGTGATTTTCATTCTCTCTTTTATATTCTATAGACAATAAAATACCCTATAAAGATGGAGTATAATTGGAAGTGTTAGTGTGAACTCGTAATTTCTAAAATATGTGTATGTAGGTATATAGCTGCACCAGAATGTATATGTATGGTTATTACATGAAATTATTTTGATGCTCATATCATACTAGATTTTGGCCAGTGGGAACTCCTCAAAGTGGCTCCTGTGTAAAGAATGTGAAATGCCCTCATTCTTTTGTTGAGCAATTCCTTAAATTATTCTGGCATAATAAAATGTTCCAGACTCATCTTGTGCCAACCCTGTTCTGGGCCAGAAATCACCCATTTTTCTAGAAGCACCCTGGCTCTTTTAAGTGGAGAAAGGTATTAGGGACCAAAATCTGGAGGCTAAGTGTGCTCATTGGTTTGTCTTTGTTTTTTGGCTCTTTCAACAGAGAGAATTAGGAAATATATACACACATATTTTATATATATATATATATATATATTACTTTTCAGTAGGACACAACATTGCTTACGTAGTATTCCAGCCAAGAATGCATAATCTGAGTCCAACCATGAGGAAATATCAGACAAATCCAAAATGAAGATTGTAATGTTAAGAAGAGTTGGCTGGGGTGCTTTTCTCAAAAAATGTCATCAAAAACAACAACATTACCACAACAAAAGGGTGTGGAAATGTTCTAGATGAAAAGAAGCTAAAGACATGTGATAACTAAATGTAATACCTGACACTAGCCTGCATCCCGTACTGGACAAGAATAGATATTAAAAGGATATTAATGGGTCAATTGTCAAAAATGGCATTTAAATGGTAGCTTAGATAAAATTATTACATCAGTATTACTTTTACCAAAGTTGATAATGCTATTGTGGTTTTGCAAGGAGTCATCCCTATTCCTAGGAACAGGATTATAAAGGGATGCTTGATTCAGAAAACCATGCTTTTGCAACTGCCACAGTAAAGATTGGATCAGGTAAAAGTCATTGGATCAGGTAGAATCATTAATGAATGTTAAATATAGGTGGAAATTTACGTTGAATTGTTTGGGGTTAAAGAGGAATGATATATGTAAGAATTTCAGATGCTTAAAAACCTGAGAGACAGAGAGAGAGAGAGAGAGAGAGAGAGAGAGAGAGAGAGAGAGAACAATGAGGAGGAGGAGGAGAAAGAGAAAGGGAGGGGAAGGGAGAAGAGAGAAGAGTTGAGGAGAGAAGGGAAGAAGGGAAAGAAAGAAGAAAGAAGGAAGAACAGAGGTTACAATAGTAGAATTTTCTATTGCCCTTGGGATAGGTAAAGATTTCTTCCATGAAAAGAACCAACCATTAAAGAAAAGATTGCTATATTTGACAGCATCAAAATTAGGGACTTCTGTTGATCCAAAGAGAAACCATGTAGTGGGAGAAGATATTTGTAACACATATGACCTACAAAAGGCCAATATCCAAAATATATAAAGAAGGCCTACAAAAGAATAATAAAGAGATGACTCAATAAGTAAACAAACAAACAAACAAACATGAAACGAAACAAACAACTTGAAAGACACCTCTCCAGAATACAGCCAATGATATCAGGGTTATGTTCGCTTCATAAAAGGTGTTGGGGAGGTTTCCATTCTTCTCAATGTTGTGGAATAATTTCTGCAAGATAGGCACCAGTTTTTCTTTGTAAGTTTGGTAAAATTCAGGTGTGAAACCATCTGGTCCGGGACTTTTCTTTTTAGGAAAGTTTTTAATTGCTGTTTCTATTTTGGCTCTTGATATTGGTCTGTTCAGGAATTCTATTTCTTCCTGGTTGAGCCTAGGGAGGCTGTGTGTTCCAGAAATTTGTCCATTTCCTCCTCATTTTCCAGTTTGTGTGCATAAAGGTTTTTGCATAAACTATATCTTGTATCTCCTTGGGATCGGTTGTGATATCTCCTTTTTTGTTCCTGATGGAGCTTATGAGATTTCTCTTTTCTGCTTTTTGTTAGTTTAGCCAAAGGCGTGTCAATTTTGTTTAATTTTTTGAAGAACCAACTTTTTGTTTTATTAATCTTCTGTATAGTTTCCCTGTTGTAAATTTTGTTTACTTCTGATTTGATCTTGTTAATTTTGCTTCTTCTGCTGGGTTTGGGGTTGGTCTGTTCTTCTTTTCCCAGCTCTTTGAGTTGATTCATTAGCTTGTCTATTTGTGATCTTTTTGACTTTTGGTTATAGGCATTTATGGAAATAAACTTCCCTCTCAGTACTGCTTTAGCTGTGTCCCAGAGGATTCGATAACTTTTCTCTCCATTGTCATTAAGTTCAAAGAATTTTTTTATTTCCATCTTGATTTCCTCATTTTGACATAATTGTTTAGTAGAAGGCTGTTTAATTTCCACATTTTTGTGTAGAAATGTGTTTCTGTTAGGGTCGATTTCTACTTTTATTCCATAGTTATCTGTGAAGATACATGGTATGATTTCTATTTTTTTAAATTTTTTGAGACTTGCTTTGTGTCCCAGCATGACCAGTGGAACAGAACTGAGAACCCTGATATAAAACTATCCTCATATAACCATCTAATTAATCTTTGACAAAGCAGACAAAAACATCCACTGAAGAAAAGAATCCTCATTCAATAAATGGTGCTGGGAAAACTGGATAGCCACTTGTAGAAGGCTGAAGCAGGATCCACACCTTTCACCTCTCACAAAAATTAACCCACGCTGGGTAACAGACTTAAACCTAAGGTATGAAACTATTAGAATTCTAGAGGAAAATGTTGGAAACACTCTCCTAGACATTGGCCTAGGCAAAGAATTTATGAAGAAGATCCCAAAGGCAATCACAGCAGTAACAAAAATAAACGGGACCTGATCAAACTAAAAATCTTCCGCACAGCCAAAGAAACGGTCATGTAAGCAAACAAGACAACCTACAGAATGGGAGAAAATTTTCGCATGCTACACATCTGATAAGGGGCTGATAACTAGAATCTACGTAGAACTCATGAAAATCAGCAAGAAAAAAATCAAACAACCCTATCAAAAAGTGGGAAAAGGACATGAACAGAAACATTTCTAAAGAAGACAGAATAATGGCTAATAAACTTATGAAAAAATGCTCAACATCTTTAATCATGAGGGAAATGCAAATCAAAACCACAATGAGATATCACTTAACTCCAGTGAGAATGGCCTTTATCAAAAAATCCCAAACAATAGATGTTGGCATGGATGTGGAGAGATAGAAACACTCTTATGCTGCTAGTGGGATTGCAAACTAGTTCAACCTCTGTGGAAAGCAATATGGAGATACCTTAAAGCGATACAAGTGAATCTACCATTTGATCCAGCAGTCCCATTACTGGGCATCTACCCAAAAGATCAAATGACACTCTACAAAAAAGACACCTGCACTCGAATGTTTATAGCAGCACAATTCACAATTGCAAAACTGTGGAAACAACCCAAGTACCCATCAATTCATGAGTGGATCAATAAAATGTGGTATATATATACCATGGAGTACTATTCAGCTCTAGGAAACAATGGTGATATAGCACATCTTATATTTTCCTGGATAGAGCTGGAACTCATTCTACTAAGTGAAGTATCCCAAGAATGGAAAAACAAGCACCACATATACTCACCAGCAAATTGGTATTAACTGATCAGCACCTAAGTGGACACATAGGAATCACACTAATTGAGTATTGGGCAGGTGGGAGGGGGAGGAGTGGGCGGGTATATACATACATAATGAGTGAGATGTGCACTGTCTGGGGGATGGTCACACTTGAAGCTCAGACTTGTGGGGGGAGGGGAGGCAAGGGCATTATTGGAAACCTTAAAATTTGTACCCCCATAATATGCTGAAATAAAAATAAAGAATATAGCCAATGGTCACCTGTAAAGGTGCTCAACCTCACTAGAAACAAAGGAAATGCAAATTAAAGCCACAATGGGATGTCATCACACACTCATATGAATGGCTAAAATTTAAAAGAATTCAGACAACACCAAGTGTTGACAGGTCTGTAAAGCAGTATGATCTTTACTATGCTGCTGGTAAGAGTGTGTCTTGTCAATGAAGAAATTAAGAGGAAAATAAAAATTTTTAAAACAAATGAAAATGGAAACACAACATATCAAAACCTGTGTGATAAACAAAAGCAGTGCTACAAGGGAAATTTATAGCATTAAATGCTTACATCAAAAAATAGAAAGATTAGAAATTAACAACCTAATGACACACCTGAAGAAACTAGAAACCAAAAATAGAAAAATAAAAAAAAACAAAGATCAGAAGTGAATGAAATAGAGACCAAAAAAGAAATGCAGAATATCAATGAAATGAAAAGTTGGTTCTCAAAAAGATAAACGAAATTGATAAACTGCTAGCTAGAGTAACCAAGAAAAGACCCAAATAAACACTATCTCAAAGTGAAAAAGGAGACGTTACAACTGATACCTCAGAAATGCAAACAATCATTAGAGATTATGAACAACTAAATGCTCACAAACTATAAAACCTACAAGAAATGGAAAAATTCCTGGAAACCAACAACTTCCCAAGACTGAACTAGGAAAAAATAAAAAACTTGAACAGACCAATAATAAGTAGTGAGATTGAATAGGTAATAAAGAATCTCCCAAAAAAGAAAATCCCAGGACCAGATGAATTCACAGCCAAATTCTATCAAATTTATAAAGAAGAACTAATACCAATTCTTCTGAAACTGTTTCAAAAAAGTCTGGAAGTAGGGAATTTCCCAAACTCATTCTATGAGGCCAATGTCACCCTGATACCAAAATCAGACAAGGACAGAACAAAGAAAGAAA